AAATGCATCTGTTCATTAGAATCGAGATCCAAACAACCCCGATGCTCTCTTCCCGGGAGTGCTGGGAGGGTGGAGGGAAGACCTGCAAGGTAAAGAAAGAAGGGACTCACGATTATTGAAGAGGGACATTTTCGTTAATACTAATTTTGGGCAGGTGCAAGGTTTTAAGGTAAGTTTGAAAAACGTAATGTTTACAGGATAGAAATCCATTAAAAATAATGTTCTTGACAACTGAACCAATGACCCGGTTTCAAACTTGAGAATTCCATGTACTATGATAACCAGAGGAATAAAACTCAATAAATACACGCAGATCAGTGTTAACTGCTTAGGCCTTTGATCTTGTACTTTTACACAAATTTGCAAAAGCTTTTGTATGAAAACATACAACCTTAAGATAAATAATTCAAATTCAAGTACATTTATTTCTTTGTGATATACAGGTTACAAAAAGCGTTACAAAAAGTTCATATAGAATAACTGTAATCCTGACTCATGCAATAATTTGTGTATTGTATACATGCCATCCAATAAAATAATATCAGTCACAATACTAAAATAAACAAAATGTCAAAAATTAAGAAGAATGTAAACAATATACAACGTCAATTTCAAATGAAGTCTCTTATATTGTAGAATGTCATTTCATTGAGGTAATTAAGAACATTGTCTTAAGCTCTGAAGAATTATTGCAATTCCCTTTATTTCAATCGGAAGTTTGTTATAGACCTTCGATGCCATTACAACTACGCATAGAGTACATAACCAGAAATAGAGACGAAATGTAATTTAATTTATTTGAAAACTCTTCTGCCAAATCATTACTGTGACAACTGCGCTCTGATTGGCCAGCCCGAATTCGAAACAATTGACGTCAATTGTTCACTTCTAAACGACCAGTTCAACTTGAGCTTCGCTATAACGTGCGAAAATTGCAAAATTACATATTTAATTACCGAAGAAATGTGATTCTGTTTGTCTTGTAATTATGTGTTTTGCTGTTTTTCCCACACCACCGAATGGAACAGCCCCTATGGGTAGAGATATTATCTTTATTACAATAAATACAGAATATTTTTAGAATATTCAGAAACGTACACAGGTCAGTTGTTGGCGCTGTACTATTTCAGTTTTCTAATTTGTGATTGCAGCGCAAACGAAACTTGATATTTAAAAGTGATATGAGGCCCATTTACCTGATGAGTTGCCAGGGATGGATGGACCTTACTACGTCTATATTTCTCGTTATATACTCGATGTAACTATGCTTAACTCTAAGTAGAGCAGTTAATAGTTTTAATAATTTACACTGCTATTTCCTTCATAACATGTCAATAATCTATTACAATTTTATTTCATAGGTATACATATACGACAATCCTGACCCTGACTCAGGGTACAGGCCATGGTTAACACCGGTGGAAAGGATCCAGGGAGAAGCGTCAGTGTTTCTTGGCATTCCATATGCTAGGCCTCCAGTTTTGGAAGGGAGATTCAAGGTGAGGATGGCAGCATTAATTTTTGATTCTGCCTATTTTTGGTGAAAATTTAGATGTATTTAAAATTCGAGAATTATGTCTTTCTATGCTAACTAAGCCACGGAACGAACCAGCGGACCTCACGAATTTTTCAACGTGCTTGTTTGTTGGATCTTTGTATTTGGTTTTTAACGACTTTTTAACCGTAGATGGCGCATCTGTGGCTAAAAAGTCGTCATAGTGTCTGGCACGGTTTGCTTGAAGACGTCGGTTCGAATCCGGCCGCATCGAAGGATTTTTTTCTAAGTGTTCGTTCTTTGTATTAATAATTATAACAAACTACTGGAGTAATTGCACAAAAATAATTGAATATCAATTCAATACACATTACATTAATATAATGTATATATATTTACATTATAATAGTTTTTAACTGCCTCTGTGGCCGAACGGTTACCATGCTGGTCTGCCACGCAGAATTCCCGGGTTCGATTTCCGAGGCGGGAGAAATATTTGTATGGCCTCCATTTATTTATCTCGTGAACTTAGGTGTAATTTTGTCTGACGTGTCGTGTTGTGACGCGTCAGAACGGTATCGGTATCATACATTTAATATGGTTAGATTTATATTATTGTGTCGCAATCTGGCGTGACGGCTTGTGTTGTGTTGCATCAGAAGCGATCCCGATTAGCGTCAGGACTGCCGCGTCACGTCAGATCAGTTCAAGCTTCAAAATATTGTTGAAGTTACGTAGTCGTTGGATGGAAGTCCTATCCAAAATTCACGTATCACTTGAACGAACGCTGAAGTGCGTAGAATCGAAACGTATCGACTAATGAACAAAATCTTGGATTGTGAAATTTGACATTTAGTCGTCGAAAGTCTATTGAAAGAACTGTCAAAATTTTAGCAGAATACGTATGACTTGTCGTTTAGAGTCGATTTAGTTTGATTCATGTACCAGAATACGCTTTAACGACATTTGAATCGAACGACTTTAAAATTGGACTCGTTGACGTTCGCTGTCACACGTGAATACGAAAATGCAGTTCAACGACTAAATCGCTACGATATCGTAACGGTTTGATTATGTGAATCACCCCCCAGACAAGTGTGTACACGCCAGTGCTGTGTTGTGATGCGTCAGAGCCGAATAATGCCTTAAACGTTCCAAAATATTTATGAAATCTTTCATCATCGCTCTTTAATGAGATTGTGAAACTCGCGTTTAGTATCGCTTTTTTATTCCCTGGATGAACCCAATATGTTCTTTTTTCTTTCTTTTTTAGTATAGATGATGAATCATCACAAATTGTGTCTTCTTCATAATCTGAATCACAATCGGATGATTCAAGAGAAAACATTGCGAACGTATGAACTCTTCGAGAGCCACGACGGTATTGATTCAAAATATCGTCTGTGTACTGTATCTGTGTACCGTCTAGGCTCTCGGGTTTCTCTCAGAGTTTAAGGAGACTGGTATCAGGACTGTGGCATAACAGTACATTTACTCAAATATATTATATATATTTATATGCCCGTAAAAATATACATAATTTCAATAACAAAGAAGATATCCATAATATTAACCTTAGAGCTAAGTCCAAACTCATGGTACCACGATTTCGTTTAACCAAGGTAAACAACTCTTTTATGGGGAACTGTGTACGTTTTTACAATAAGATTCCGGAGCATATATTAAGTTTATCATTTCCTAAGTTTAAAAAGTACATTAAAAATATTTTGATCGAAAAATCATATCACAAAATTGAAGACTACGTGTAAGATAAGGATGTATGGAAAGACGACACGGCTCCAGAATCCACACAAATTTGATTCAAAGTGTATTCCATAGCATTTAAGTTTATTTGAAAAGAGCAATCCCTAGAGTTTCTTGCTCGTTCTTCTCAGGGAGGTCAGCGTAGTGAATGAGCAGTAGCTTAGCTTAAATGTGACATTTTCAAGTGTAAATTTATTTTACCTATGGAATAAATAATCTTTGACTTTGACGTCAGAAGGCGTAAGAACACGACATATAAATGTGAACGCTAGCCATGACGTCAGAGCGCGTCTCGACACGTTACGTCAGACAAATATAAACGCGGCTTTACGCGATTCAAAAAACGCGACTCACAACTCATAAGGTTACGTTCGTCTGGCCTTATCCTTATTCGCGATGACAGATGCTTTGTGACACAACTGTATTTTCTTTTATATGATCTGTAGTAAAACATCCTTTATCTCTTCTACGTATTTTAACTGAATAATGACTGACTCCATAATGTGTTGACCAGCCTCCTCGGCAGCATCCTGGATGGCAGCTAATGCAGGCCGTGGACTGGGGCCCAGCGTGTCCGCAACCCGAGCGCTTCACTGGCGCCACAAAGGGCGTCCGCGATATGGATGAGGACTGCCTGTATCTAAACATATTCTCGCCTAATGTAAGTTTTGAAAAACATACAATACTTACGTCAAACGTATTCGTTTAAACCTTGGAATTTATTCACGTTCTGCTGCTTTCCTTGTACTATAAAAGTAAAGAAACAAATGGATGGTGATAAGCAATAACGTGTCAACCAACTTGATGAGAACTTGAGTTTTGCGACAATGGCACCTAATGATTTTCTCGTTATTTTTGATTGTTTATTCTAAAATTTACTTATAAAATGAAAACGTTTGCTGTTCATTGTGCTTGTTGTTGTTGAATTATAGAAGTAAATTACAATGAATTGTAATTCATTGATGACAGATGTCTGTCCCGACCTGGCACCTTGTGACTTTTATTTATTTCCAAAAATTAAAAACCAGTTACGCGGTCAACGATTTTCTTCACCTGAAGAGGCTGTCGAAGAGTATGATAAATTTGTTTCAGAAATTGTCACGGAGGAGTGGCATAAATGTTTTCAAAATTGGTTCATTCGTACGAAAAAGGCATTAACGCTAACGGAGAATATTTTGAGAAACAATAAATTCATTTCTTACCATTTATAGTATTTTTTCTTATTCATTCTGGAAACTTATAGTGCGCCACACGTATATATGTAATGCCTGTATTAACGTTGTTTGCAATAAATAAATAAATAAAATTGTTTATCTACACACATCATAAACTCTCTATAATGTTCAAAAACTGCAAATTACGACCAGGCAAACTGTTTTGTTAGAACAAATTTCTTATCTATGAAAATGTTATTATTGCTTCATAATAACATCGAATTCGATGTTATTATTACATTCAAATTTCGAACATCTCTGAAAAACAAAACAATTTGATTGGACCTCAATTCTAATATCAGTCGAGATGAAGTTTTATTCGAAATGACATGTCAATAGCAAACGATTTTGACAATTTCACACGTTACTTGATATCGAACGATATCAAGGATTCTAGTTTTGTCTATGAATTAAAAAAATAAAAACTACGGTTGCGTGACATGTGTGAGAAAAGTTTTTATTTGCCGCCATTTCGCCAGTCGTGACATGCGGTTCCTGAACTCATCACAGAGAGCTTATAATATTAGATAATTATATTATTAGATAAAGCAGTTTAAAAAAGTTTTTGAAAACAAACCCTCACTCGTATTTTAATGCCTTTCGTTATGTAACATTGACTTAAAATGTACTATTAAACGCACGGACTTTTATTTTTTTTTAAAACTTACTACGTTGTGTTAATAGCGAAAAGCAAGAGTAGACCACTAAAAGTTTTAAGATAAGTAAGTTTATTTGTAAAATACAACTTATTTTTATTTATATAAAATTATTATTCACATTGACGAATTAATTTGTTTTGGAAACATAAATGGCAGGACTAGAAACATTAACACTTTGTTAACGATTACGCTTAAATTGAAAATTGCGTATGTATGTACTTATTTTAAAACGCAAACTTTTTGAAGTGCTTTTCGGCTAAACGCCTACCTCTAGTAATATGTTTTATTTAATAATATCACATGGGCGTGCACATGTGGATTTAATAATCAGTCATTTAAACGCGATGATTGTTATTTGGGCCAATGTTAATGATAATAATTTGAAAAATGTAAAAATTCGTCACCTTGCTGTCTCAAACTCATATTTTAAAGCTTCTTGAAGCATTAAGGGTCATATTCCAGGACTCTATTCAATGCTCAAGTCAGGATTGCACTGGAAACACAAGCACTGGAAATACGACTCTAATGGCAGGGACTTGAGTATGATTTCGAGTGCTTTAAACCATACTCAAATCCTGACTTGAGCATTGAGTAGAGTTCTAGAATACGACCCTAAGTCACTGAAATGCAAAAAATGGATTGTATATAAAAAAAATTGCAGACGTTTTCACATCACATTTCCTTCATATTCACACACCGGCTTTTACCTATTTTGAACCGACTTCAAAAAAGGAGGAGGTTCTCAATTCGACTGTTTTTTTTTTGTATGTATGTTACACAATACGAACTCCGGTATTTGTGAACCGATTTTCATGATTCTTTTTTTGTTGGTAGTGGGGTACGTCCATAGTGGTCCCATTTCATTTTGAAGAAAATCATCCACCTCGAAGGGTGGCTGTTCACGCATGAAGATTCATTTTTATAAATAGCGCCTAACTTTCATTTAGGAGCAATTACTTTAATGGTTGATTTTGCTATTTCTCCAATTCAAGGCGTTTTTCTCTCAATATTCTTTGTCTAGTGTCGTAGTGAGAATCTATTTTTATTATCTCCAGTGTCAAGCCCTGTATAGTGGCGAACTAGGGGATATTTCAACGACGCAATTCCACGTACTTTTGAGGTCGGTTTTTTTAGTACTCTGTACTGAGATTATTAAAGTAACGCATCCAAATTAACACCCTTGATAAGAAATTTAAAATAAATAGAAAATATTGCCATCTCCTCAATATTCTTTATAATACTCTTTATAAGATACGAGTTTGAGAAAGTAAGGCATCGAAATTATACTTATGCAAAACAAAAATAGTTATCTTACCATTACATTAAAGTATACCTATACTGTTTGATTGAGTATATCGTCTCACCGAACGGAAACAGCAATTATTCCGCTAATTGAGCACTGAGTTGCGAAAGCCGCCTTGTTTGTTCATCCGTTTTATTGATGAGATTCACCAAGAAAAAAGTCTGTCAACTCCGATCTTTTTGTATTTCGAATTAGTTCTGGTAATAATTGACAGAGTAACCATTGAGTTTTATTATAATAATAGAAGTTTTAGCAAACGCGTGACTGCATCGATACAAACCCGCGATTGCATCAACGTTATCGCGCGTTTGTATCGATGCAGTCGCGCGTTTTTATCGATGCAGTGTAGCGAACTCTAAGACGTAAACTCAACTTATTCACTAATTTAAGAGCTCTCATGCCAAAAAAGTTTTGACGTTGGCTCCGCCCAAATTTGTGAAACAAATATATGCCTGAAGTTCGCGTGACATGCGACAGGAGATGTTGAATTTTGCGCATTAAAAGTACCAAATTCGTTTTAGCGGAATAACTCTAAAACTAAAGGGATTAAAAAAATCCGTAGTGACAGTTCTCGATCATGCATAAATATAATTAATTATCTAATTTTTGTCCTAATAACCTGTAGCATTTCGAGGATGAATCGAAAAAATGTGAAAATTAGAGGTCATTTCGTGATTTTTATCTATCGAGGAAACTTTATTGTTTTATGTTTCTGATTAATGTCTATGCTTGAATATATCGTGTCGTCACTCATACAATATTTTATTTTTAACTTTAAAGTGGATATACCCCTCTAAAATCAAATCGAAGATTAGAAATTTTTCCTCTGCTCCCTCTTAAAAAAAATACGTCGATGGCCTTTAAACTTCTCGAATATATATTTTGTTAATCAATTTATTTCAAGTGTAATTTAAATACCTACCCATGAAACAAATTCCGAAACTCAGAGGTGCGAACCCGGATTCGAACCCTCTGTTTGAGAGGCATTAGGTCAAACATTCAGGCTACTGCGGCTTATTTATATTATACACACAGGCGCACAAACACACACTGTGTGTGTGTACACGCATATTGTTCGCTATACTTAGCTACTACATTATGTCAGTGACTGGTTTTTGTAGGGATTTGCTTTACCTGATTTTTCGCACGTACCAATGCTGTACATCAACAACGAGCTGCCGGCGCTTTTTTTAATTAGACCAATTTATTCCTTTGCAGCAAGCCGACCTTTCAACCGTGGCTTAATCCGAGCGTGGTTTTATAATTACCAACTGCACACGAATTCGGGTCACCCGCCAACGGCCATTTGTCTTTATTTTAAAGTAAACATAGGGAAATATTTAGGTCATCTTCAAAAATAAAATAGTTTATTGGACATGCAATACAACACAAAGAAAATAATATGCAAATTCATAATAATAATAATAAAAAACACTCGTCAAATGACAGTGAAGTACATTGTCTTCGCTGATATTCCGCCATAGCCCTTAATGGTCAGGAACACAATATATATATATATATATATATATATATATAATTAATCATACAGATACACATATACGCGTCAGAATACACTAAGAGCGACTTAGCAACGACGCAAACGCGATGCAGGTTTAACAATTGTAACCTTAACATGTCACATTTATTCCCAATAGTCATTTATTCAACTATTTTTACACCTATGTTTTTTCCTCATCAGATCTTTAGAAGTTCATTAACCCCATTTCCAAGATAGACAAATATTTTAAAGAGTATAAATGCAGAACATGCAATAACAAAACACTGATGTTATTTGTACTTTTATTCCTATAAAAAATTATCGACACCCGTGCAGAATTTGAAAGCTATTATATTGTCTATGGTTTTAAAACTAAAATATCATAATTTTACTGCTGTTTTTTTGTAATCCAACTAACACAGCTTTCCTGATACAAATCGGAAGTACTGCCACCTTACCTATTTCTGCCGCCAAGCAGTAATGTCAGCATTACTGTGTTCCGGTTTTGAACGGTAAGGATGTTGGTGAAATTACAGGCATATGGGACTTATCAATTTTGTCTCAGTGTGTCGGGCGCAGCGACAGTGCCCCTTAAGTCGCAAAGATCTGTTCTTTGCGACTTAAAGCTCTGTGTGGCACTGGAACTGTTATGGACAGGCGTGTAGTTTACCATCAGGCACACGACTTGTTGGTCCCGTCACTTGTATTATACAAAAAATTTTATGGACTCGTTGTCATTCTACAGAGACAATAACGAAGCACATTTTGTAATACGCATAATATAAGCGTAACACTCGTGGGAGTTAGGTGCGTTACAATTACGTGATTACTTGCGTATCGTATAAAAGACCCGGATGTTTGGTACGTTACAATTACAATAGCTATAAAAATTGAAGTAAATTAATTTCCTACTCCGAGAACCTTACGAAGGTTAAATCGTGTAAAATAACTGCGCTTGTGTCGAATATTTAATTGATAATAGCATATTTTTTTATAAAATTTCACCTTGTAGATCAGTGTTTTGTCGTCTTAGCCATTTTTTTTTATACTTTCTAAATTAGTAGTTGTTGAGAAAAAAAATAATTGAGGTTTGAAAGGCCCTCATAGAAAGTCTGTATTTCGTGAATAAAAACCGATATTATGTTTGATGAATTAATTAGTGTGAAGTTTTTTTACTTTAACGGCCTTAAGTGCGTGCGTATTTACAGATTTTTTTTAGTCATTCCAAGTTATAGTTCAATATTTTTTAAATATATCTCTCGGATCTGAGGGTCTAGTCTCGATCTCCGCCCAACATCCGTCCGAAACAATCACTGTCAAATAAATAATATTCGACAAAATTAAAAGACAAGTATCGAGTATGAAGCTTCATTCGCATCACGCGTCTTTTCATTTGGTCAAGTATTGCTTATTTGGCAGTAATTGTTTCGGACGGAGATCGAGACTAGACCTCCAGCTTTTCCACAAACAGTATTTCCTAATATAATTTATTAGATAAATAAATTAAATATCGCCGCCTTACTTTCTCAAACTCGTATCTTAAAGCACAAAGTTACTGATATGCAAAGAAAGGATTGTGTATACTTGCAGGCTGATTTAACATCACATTTCCTTTATATTCACACACTGACTTTTACCTATTCTTAAAGTAATGCATCCAAATTAAAACCCTTGATAAGAAATTTAAAATAAATAGAAATTTTTGCCATCTTCTGAATAATGACTCTTTATAAGACAGACACGAGTTTGTGGAAGTAGGCATTGATATCACGCCTTGAACCTCTGCAACTGCGTAGAGATGTTACATCGCTTAGCGCCTTTTACCGCATGTACCATGGTGAGTGCTCTGAAGAGCTGTTCAACCTCATCCCCCCTTCCCCGTTCCTGCTCAGAAGCACGCGTGCTGGCCTTCGTAGTCACCGTTTCACTACCTGCCGAATTCCATCGCGTACTAAAAGGTTCGGTGGCTCCTTTCTCTGCGGCACGGTTGACAAATAAGAACTCCCTTCCGGCACATGTCCTCCCTCCCTCATATGATATGGGATCCTTCAAACGAGGCGTGAAGAGGCATATTGTAGGCAGACAGGGTGGAGGTGGCTAGTGCAGTGAGGATTTCATCGCTGCACTAGGTTCCTTCGCGTTTGGATACCACTTTCCACTTATCATCAGGTGGAGTGGAGTCATTTGCCTGTCATGTAAAAAAAATATTGTACATAATAACTGAAAACACAAAGTCAAATAAGTTCAGTTTCGGTTTTTTCGTCACTAGTCGTGACGTCAAATCGACGATTGTCGTTTAAGCTTTTTCGAAATGAGCTGGTTTAAATTATTGAATTTAAATAGAAAGACATCATTTTGTATACAAATATTTTACGCGGTGGCGAGCAAGACGGTCACTGTAATCTCGTAGTAGAGGCACTGGTCTCAAACTAGGGAATAACCTGTAATATTTTATATCCCAATAGGTCCAATCGAACCCGGGATCTCCTCGTCCAACGCCCACAGTATAAAATCTGTTGGGACGTCTCGAGGTAGTCAAATATTTTTTTCATTTCAAAACCATCCCTTTGCATAAAATTAATAAAATAATTAAAACGCAACTACTATCACAAACTACTATCACAAATTCTGCCGTCCTTGGACTCATTCAGTGTGCAGGGCGAGTACGGCAGCGCGTGCGGCGGGTCTTGGCGTCTTCCATTTCACAGTGCCGAAGCGGCTGCTAACGGATAGATCCACACGTTGAAATCGCAAACAGACGCTAGACATCGAGTATATAACCCGAAATAGAGACGAAATAAGGGCCATATGTTCCTGGTAACACATTAGCGATACAGCTCTTATAAATATCAACTCCCGTTTGCACTGAAATATAGACAGGCCAACTACTGACCTGTGTGTACGTCTCCGTATATTCCAAAAAATATTCTGTATTTACTGTAATGAAGATAATATCTCTAACAATGCCGTGCTGTTCTATTCAGTGGTGTGGGAAAAATAACAAAACATCTAATTACAAAACAAACGGAATCACATTTCATCGGTAATTAAATATTGAATATGTAATTTTGCAATTTTCGCCCATTACAGCAAAGCTCAAGTTAACTGGTCCACCTCCACCACCAAGAACCTCCGTTTTTTGAAGTCGTTAAAAAATAATAAGTATGTTTCAAATTTAATTGCAATACTTTGTGAATCGAAGATTGTGCTCATTTTAGTTCTTCGATACTTGGAAACGTTACCCTGAAAAGTTGTGAATTTGGGCTTACGATTGCTTACAATTGCTTACGATTGCTTACGCAGTAAGGGTCGTTTTATTAGTTTTATGTGGTACATGCCTCATCACGCTTTAGGAAAGTATTTGGTTTAGTAAAGTCAGAAACATATATATATAGATAATTATTCGCTAGACTTAGTTATTTCTATTTAACTATAAGAATGAAACAGGACCACTGAAATCTTAGCTGGCTCAAACGTGCCCATAACGCTGGCAGTATTACCGCGCTGAAAAGCCAACGAAATTTGTTGCACCAAGTAAAATCCAGAGCGTGGATCATAGCCTCTTTTTTCTAAGCCAACTTCCTGATGAGTTCTTTGGCCTCCGCACCCCAAGTTCCCGCAGTCTCCACTGCAACTGGCATAAAATCGTACATCGGCTTCAAGGCACTGTACTTGGCATGTTTAAATTTTGCCGCATAGTCTGCAGCTGGCAGATCTGGTGTTTGTGACTCAGGTGTAACTGTACAAACGTGCTGACACACGTAGCGTAATAGATAAAATAAAGTTTAGTGTCCTACCACACACGAACAAAAATACGAAATAATTAACAAAAGAAAAAAGAGACTTCAAACAGAAATAGTAAAATTGTCAGTGAAATCGAACAAACAAAAAAAAGGAATTATTTATACCATTTTATATTTATAAATTTACGCTATACTAGCACTATAGTGGTGCTTTGTCATTTGTTATGTAATATTTATAACACTTCCGGACACATAATTCGAGCCACAGCGCATTTTTAGTATTAAGCGCCCTAAGCTTAAACAATGTTTGATTGATCAAAAACTATTATGCAATTTTGAAACTAGTGTACTAAGCGTCTTTTCCATAAGCCCTTGTTGGGAATTTGGATTTGCAACAAAGGGAAAACTTTTTCTTCGATTATAACACTATTTTTGTATTCTAGCTCTTTACGACAAAAATGCGAGTATATTTCATTTATTAAAAGTAAATTTATTTTCAGACGGAGGCGGGAGCAACGGCGCAAAAGTACCCCGTAATGGTCTACATCCACGGCGGGCAGTTCATGTCCGGGGCTTCGAACCTGTTCCCCGCGCACGTGATGGCTGCTTTTTACAACGTCGTCGTTGTATCCATCAACTATCGACTTGGAGCGCTTGGTAAGTTAAATAGTTTACTAAAACTAATGCTTTATTTTAACAGAATCCAAAATGACTGATGGTTATGTGGAAGATTGTTCTTATAAATATTTGCGATGCCGCTGCCAATGAATAGATAATAAGAAAAAAACAAAAATAACTTTATTTCAGACTTCAAAAGGTATTCTATACAAAAGCGTTAGTAAAACAAAATTAAATTCTTAGGGAAGTAAGTGTTATACCCCGTCCAACCATTTATATCACTTTTGACAGCTCGAATTCTAATCAATCAGTGATGTCCTAATGCGTTTCCGATTCGATTTTTTATAACAATGAATTTTATTTATGAAAAATTTTTAATCGTGAATGTGAGCGGGTTCAAAACAGAAGATATTCTCTGATTGGGATCGTGATGTTGTGTTTGACAATTTGTGTACTCAAGAATTAATAATTAATGTTAATGAGGATTCAAGTGATGATTCCCGTTCATATGGAGAAGAATCAGACGATTCATTCATTTCAGATAAACAGTAAGAAATTATTATATTTGACAGGTACCAAAATTTAACAACTTGAATAGTCTTCGTTACATAATCTGTTGGCTCGATAAATATCGGAGCTGAAGAGCACGTCGCTTCACTAAAATTAAAAAATAAAAGAGTCCAGCAAGTATTGCATTTATTTGTCTATGGTTGTTGTCAATAATTACGGAGCTTCAGAGGCACGCATGTGTCAAAAGTGAAATAACTGGTTGGATGGAGAAAATGTAAAATCAGAAACATTAACATTAAAACAGTCAAACTGGCATAAAATCGGCGTGTTTATTTATAAAGTATGTTGTATTTTAATGAACTATCAGATTCCTTGTTAATTATTTTCTAGATTTCCGTAAAATTCATATGAATGACGTTCCTGGTTAGGTAAATCTAAAATATGCGATTGTTTTTCTCTAACATTCTTAGGGTTGACGGCTAATGTAAACGTTAAGTATAAAAAACGGTGAGATTTACTACCATCGAGTATGTAACCAGAAACAGAGACGAAATAAGGGCCATCCATCTGGCAACTTATCAGGCAAATGGGCCTTAAGTCACTTTTAAATACCAACTCTCGTTTGCACTGAAATCAAAAATTAGAAAGCTGAAATAGTACAGCGCCAACAACAGACCTGTGTGTACGTAGCCGTATATTCTAAAAATATTCTGTACTTATTGTAATAAAGATAATATCTCTAACAATGAGGGGCTGTTCCATTCGGTGCTGTGGGGAAAACAGCAAAACATCTAATTACAAAACAAACGGACATTTCATCGGTAATTAAGTATTTAATATGTAATTTTTAATTTTTATAGCAAATTTATAGCAAAGCACAAGTTAAACTGGTCAATTTGAAGTGAAACAATTTGACGATACCCGTCAATTCTTTCTAATTCGGGTTGGCCAATCTAAGCGCAGTAATGATATGGCAGAATAGTTTTCAAACAAATTAAACGACATTTCGTCTCTATTTCTGGTTATATGAACCTGTAATGTACAAAGGTTGATTTAAGCGTGAATGTCATGTCACGCTGATCACGCCACCGCCATCGAAAACTATCAAACACCGCCGCCAAATATTTTACGATGCCAATCACACGTCTAGTGTTTTATTTTACCAGTCTTTATCTTTTTAGTGTATGGATATCATACATTAATGGCGTATTGATGATTTCAAATTAGGAGACTAATGCTCGTATTCCAGAACTCTACTCAATGCTCAAGTCAGGATTTGAGCAGACTTGAGTATGATTTCAAGCACTGGAAATACGACCCTAATGGCAAGGCCTTGAGTATGATTTTCAGTGCTCACTGCAATACTCAAGTCCTGACTTGAGTATTGAGTAGAGTTCTGGAATACGACACTAAGTAGCAAGCCTGTAGCTCAGTAAAATGTCGCAGCTGATTTCTACAGCCTGGCATATACGAAAACGAGCCAAAATACATCTAGTCTAGCCTTTAGGCAGTGACCATATTTATCGCACGTGTAAATTCGCTTTCGCTCTTATTGCATGGACATAAAACTTTTTTGACCGGTTCTGTGGTGATTCCCCAACATAAAAAAAATAAAAAACCTGGAAGAAAAACTTATTTTTCAAATTTTTATATTGCATTACATCATCCGCATACGCTAACCAATCAACATCCGCTTCTAAGGATTGCTTTGACAAGAGTTATAAAGTTTGTTGCGTAAAGTGGGAAGTGCGAATACGTGACAAAAATTAACAAGAGGAGAAAGTTCTTCGTTGCAAATACTCCGTACATCTCTTCACTGACTGTCGTATCCGACATTTTTAACCGACTTCAAAAAAGGAGGAAGTTCTTAATTCGACTGTTTTTTTTGTGTGCATGTTTGTGACTCGATTTTGATGATTCTTTTTTGTTTGAAAGAGGTTACCTCATTATTGGTCCCAAAATAACTTATTGATAGAACGTGATTGGCACGGAATACAGGTCAAGTTGTGAAGTACTAAATCGAAAAAACGTTCTGGAACATTTTCCTGTCCAATTTCTTGAACCTATGAAACAAAGTGATAACCAGCACAACAGCAGTTTTTGTGGGTTGGAGACGTCCCTCGTCTTCGTGTCAAGCTTTTTCGATAGCAGATTGCATAATTTTATTATCTTAGGGGAGCTTACAGCGACTTTTACAATATGGATTTAATATAAATAATCAGATGCTTATTAAAAGCTTCCGCATATGAAAATGAGAAAATAACACTGCCCTAAATAACTAAATAAGATTTCTATGCGACAGTCGTCATTGAGTTGGTTAAATGAAACATCATTTAATGATCTTGGTAGATAACTATTCATTCTAAAATTAGTACAACTAAATGGAACACGAAGCAAATTATTCTTACGAATATCAAATGGTAGTCAGCTTTGTTACTGGATAAGTGGTATAATTGTTTCAAGAAATGATAATGTAAGCTAGCCAGCTCCAATATAATAATAATGGTTAGACAACCACACTAATTACCTGGTTTCAAAAGGTCTATAGAGAATTACCTGTACACTGAGGCAGCAACGGAATTCACACTGGTACACTAACTAGGATACAATTTGCATAGTACAGCTCCTTGTGAAAGAGTTCACCCATATTACCTATTGCTGCCAAGCAGTAATGTGAGTATAACTGCGTTCTGATTTTGAAGGGTTATGAGTGCTGGTGAAGTACGTGCATATGGACTTGTTATCTTATGTCACAGAGTGACAGCCTAGCTGCAGTGCCCCTCAATTCTTCGGAATTTAATGCTCTGAGTGGCATCACAATTATTGAAAGCATGTGACTTGCATTTCCCGTTACTTGACAATCTTAAAAAATACTCCTCTGAAGACAAATTTTGATAAGCATCTTTTGACAAGCAATTTTCATGTTCCAGGCTTCCTTTCCACAGGCGACGAGAATTCTCCCGGGAACTACGGTATACTAGATCAGGCAATGGCCCTGCGCTGGATATACGACAACATCGAGCCGTTCAACGGTGACCGCCACTCCGTGACACTGTTCGGGCCCGGCGCCGGCGCCGCCTCCGCCGGCCTCTTGGCCGTCGCGCCACAGACGAGGGATATCGTCACTAAAGTTATAGCTCAGGTCAATAAGCATCTTTCAATTTTAGTCAGGAAGTACTGTTTTGATACGGCACGTGTCGTTTGTCGGTTCTTGAACTTGGGTCTCTGGCCCCGGTTGTCTGTGCCATAGCCGGAGAGTACTTCCTCTCTCATCTAAAAAATTCAAATTGCGTCAAAAAATAATTTCATTAAAAGGGCACTGTTGAATATACTTAGGTCGTCCATCTTTGATCATGTTATCTTACAATAGTTACTCAGTTAAAACTTGTATTATAGAAGTTAGCAAACAGTTAAGTCGAATTACGTGGCCGTATACCAATCATAGGTGTGTCCGATACGCTCTTTGATGTTTGTATTAATATATTTATTAAAAAAAACAATATGTTATGAATCTTATAAATTATAAATTTAAAAAATCTCTAAATTATAATTAACGAATAAAAAGAATGTGAAGTAGGTAGGCATTGACTTACAATTATATGGACGTCGGGTCCGCGCTAAAAAGTGTCCGCACTTGTAAGGCGCTAAAATCGTATACAGAGCGCCAAACTCCGCTTTAGTCTTCATTTGTTCGGCTGACAGCGCGATACTGCGATGACATTACAATTTAAATTTCGAATAGGTTGACTTGGGACATTTTTTTCGTGGTTTTTGTATTAGACCCGTCGTCCATTTATATGTAAGTCAATGTAGGTAGGTTACAAAAATAATGTGATTACGCGGTGACCACTCGAAAAAGTGAGAGAGCTCTTTTTCTCTCTCTAAAGGACACTTTGCATTTGGCCGCTGATGTCCTTGACTGCGCCACTTGACGAAAAAGCGAGTTGAAGGCTCTTAACCCTTTAACAATAAACTAAAGGCGCCCAGTGGGCACGGACTTCGGCTCAGGGCGCTACATGGGACTTCCGCCAGAAGGGCGTATTGTATGAGAGAGGAGTGAACTCACGTTTTCTCGCTGCCATTATACCATTCGGTTTGGTGGCTGCTGAGCTCTCTCCCTTACTCTCCTCTATCTCCAACGATATACATTACTTACAGAGCGGCTCAGCGCTCGCCGACTGGGCGTTGATTGAGGATAAGTTCCGCGTGCAGAACACGTCGTTGGTGTTCGGCCGTTTGCTGGGTTGCCCCATCGACTCTTCGTGGAAACTCGTCAACTGCCTACGAATGGGGCGCAGCTTCTACGAGCTCGGCGATGCAGAGTTTCAGGTATGTACTCACAGATTACTAAACTTAATAGTTACTACGTAACAGATACATCACTTTCATACAACATCGAATAATAGTCTACTGAATCTGACTAATGGACACCAGGCGCTCATTACAAGGAAAAAGGAACCTAAGCATGCGCTCAGAGAAGTGAAAATAACGTTTGCCGGCCGTGTGCAGTCGTGCGGAGCCGAATGTTCATAAATGAAAGACTTGTATGAGCGCTTGCACCAACGTCGGCGCACTCAGCGGTAGGCACTTATCGCGTCACCTTGAGCGAGTGACGGAGCCCTAACGTAGTTCAAATTAAAATTCACTTATTTCTTTGTGACACACAATTTGTCAAGGCGTTGCAAGAATGCATATTGACTCACTGTGATCCGCTTTGCGGCATATTCATCACTCATGTAATATATATTATCTTGTACATTCCAATCGGCAAATTATTATAATATGTTTAACGAACATTATCTAGTGTAAAATATAAAATTAAATAAATGAAATATATGAAACTTAAAACAACATCTATAAAACCCCGATACAAAACCGCGTACTTCAAACAGTCACCATTTGTGAACCAACAAATCGTCGAGATCAATTATTAGTAGGTCACAACACGAAACGTTTAATCGATGTTTACCTAAAACTGACATACGTCTTTCATTGAAGATTGACATTTCAAATTAACCATTTGTTTTCCTTAGTTTGTAACTTTTAAATTTATTTTGAAATTGAAGTAAAATATTTTGATACGAAATATATATGTTTTTTCTCTAAGTCTAGAAAAGTGACAACAGATGTTCTTAAGGGGCCGTGCCGGTTATATTATATGGCTAAATATGTAGCGTTTGCCACCAGCGGCGTGAACGAGCTTCGCAAAGTTGGGTGTGTCGTGCCGGTCATTCTAACCCACCCACAGCCCCAATAGGTAGATGAGATACCGGTCATTTTGCTCAGTTTGGGAGCTACAATGCCAGAAACAGACCTTCGGATACATAAGCAAAAGTTTCAAACTTATAACTTTTTAAAACTTTGTTGTGAGCTCGTTATGAGCAATGAGTTTTTTGTAAGATATTGTGATTGCTGCCATTCCACAGCCTCAAGTGGGATTCATCCCATGGGGGCCAGTGCTGGAGAACAACTTCACGTTCCCGGGTGACGAGTGGTACGAGGGCTGGCGCGAGCGCGACTGGCACTTCTTGGACACCAAGCCGGAAGACTTGATCCAGAGGAGGCTGTTCAACCCTGCTTTGCGCTACATGACGGGGGTCACTACACAGGAGGCTGCATATTATTTGTGTAAGGGCGTATATGGACGGAACATTTAATTATTTTGCAGTGGTACTACGTGTACGTACACTACACTACTACACACACCTACCGACTTTACTTTTGTTACCGCGGCTGGCACCACACAAAGTATCTCAATATTTAGTGCTCTTTTTATTATACATACATATACTTCACGCCTTTTTCCCATCGGGGTAGGCAGAGACAACAGTCTTCCACTTGCTACGGTCCTGACACACATCTTTCGCCTCATCAACACGCATCAATGCTTTCATACACGCTCGTCGGTTAAGGGTACTCTTGACCTGGCCCTTCTTTAGGATGGCCTCAATTTGGTCATGATAAGTTCTCCTTGGTCGGCCCATACCAACTTGCCCGCTCACACTCGCCTTATAAATCTGTTTCGTCACTCTTCTTTCATTCATTCTCTCTACATGTCCGAACCATCTAAGCATCCCTTTCTCTATCTCTGTCACTATATCTTCTTCCAGGCCGCAACGCTCTCTTATCACACTGTTCCGTAATTTATCCATCCGAGTCACTCCAGCCATACTCCTCAAAGCTCTCATTTCTACTGCATTAATTCCACTTTCATGCTTCTTCTGCCAAACCCAACATTCACTACCATACATAAGTGTAGGAACCAGCACCCCCCATGCACAGCCAATCGTGCCTTTTTAGACACTTTCTGGCTGCCCATGAAGGTATGCAAGGCACCATTCACCTGATTCTCTGCGTTCACTCTTCTTTCAATGTCTCTCACATTTTATATCAGACGTAAACATAGAACCCAAATACACAAACTCTCACTTGATCCACTTTTTCTCCTTCAATCAATATCGTACAAATCGATTTTTATTATTTGTGTGCTTAGTTCCTGTTTTTTGTATATACATTTTTCTTTTGTGTTTCTTTGTGTTTTTCTTTCGTAATTATTTATTTATACAGTGTGTTAGGGCACGCACTGTACAAACTTTAAGGGGGTGTTTAGTATTCAATATTATGTGAAAAACACTAATACATGTGGGGTCAAAACTCGACTCCCTAGGAATGGCAGCCATTTTGATTTGTTATACTTAGTTTACTAGACGTTTGTTCTAAAATTATCATATAATGAGAAGTAAAAGCAGTACGAACATAAAAAATATAAGCTAAGATTAGCGGCAATTGAATAAAATATCTGTCATGTACATAAAAAAGTGGGGGATTGCCTAAAAAGATAATGAATGTAAATTTTTACCAGAAAAACTGCCAAAAAAACTAAGTTTTTGTAATTTAATCCTAAAATAACCAAATTAAGGTACTGTTTTTGTGTATGAGTTTTAAAGTTCTTCAGCTGTTCTTAAAAACAATACCAAAATCATAATCGTATGTCCGCAATTCTAAAAGTTACAGCTTCTGCAACATAACGGTTCCGAGAGCGATAAGTAAATTTCTTCTTCTTCTTCTTCTTCTTATTCTTCTTCTTCTTCTTCTTCTTCAATTAAATGCTATAGAATGTACGTAGTCTTCAATTTTGTAAGGTGACTTTTCGATCAAAATATGTTTAATGTAGTTCTTAAACTTAGGAAATAATAAACTTAATATATGCCGAATCTTATTGTAAAAACGGGCATTTACGGGCAATTACGGGCATATAAAATATTTGAGTAAGTAAGAGAAATTGCAACAACAACAAAAATATGCTTATAAATTAATTTAAAATATATTCTCTTCTCATTATAATCTTTTTTCCAGACAACAACAAATCGCTAGCCCCAAGATTCGAAATCAACGAGCCATGGTTCAACCAGAAGATCAACGAACTAGTACTACGTTACAACTACACGCTAAATCCTCGCGGCGTATACGAAGCCGTTCGATATATGTACACCTACCATCCTGACCCTCATAATGTTAGTGCCATACGCGACCAGTATATTCA